TTGAGGAATACAACTAACCAGTTGTATCTAGAATTCTGGGGCTAAAAGAGGTGATACTCCATCACTGCTAAGAATTTTTTAATAACATTTATTGTCTTTTTTTTATCAATAGTGTAAATCACTAATTGAAATCCATATTTAAGACTTTCCTTGTTAAACTAGATAAATCTCCATTAGCTACTTTTTCTACAGAATTAGCACAATCTCTTAACATTAGCTGTCAGATACATGTGTTGTTCTACTTTTGCTGAAAAGTAGAACATGCTAAAACAAGCATGACAGTCTACATGCAGAAAAAAAGTTTTAAAAAGTTAAAACAGTTTTCAGACTCATTTAAGTAAAATATTAAAACAGATTGACAAAGTCAGGGTTCAAACCCCTGAAAATTTCTCCATTTCCATGTGATGATATAAATACCACCATGCTTTGCCACTGCTCCATTGTCTATGTAATTATTTTTTATATAAATTGCACATAGCAAACATATTTTATATAAATTGCACATAGCAAAAATAATTATTAATATCTTTCAACAAAGTTTTAACAGTAGGTTTTCAAAGATGCTAGAAACCAAATACATTCTGAAGAGCCCAGAAATCTAAAACATAAGGTTTAGAACAGAAACATTTATCAGAAGATGAAGGAAATGACCTGGTTCTCCCATATTGCCACATGGTACCTTACGGTCTGATCAATCACAAGAAACAAGGGAAAGTAAATAAGGATGGAAAGATTAAATGTTGCACTGTGAACATGAAAACAAGTAGACTGCACACAGCGTGACAGCTCAGAATGGTCCAAATAGATATCTTTAACCACAGAAGCAAGAAAGATATTGTTGTAAGCACTTTCCTGCTCATGCTGATATTTGAGTAGCTTCTGAAGCTAGCACAGATGCTGAGGCAGTCAAGTGAATCCTTATTGCTAAGCAAGATCCGAGTGCGTTCTTTTGATTTATCTTTTTATAACGACTTTGTTCCACATACAAAACTTTCTATTCAAGTACCTAGTGCTATGATGAGGCTGACTACACTATCTGACAGCCAACAACGCATTCCCTTCCCATTAGGTCATTCTAAAAATCAAGGTGCTTAAAATGGTCTTGCAGTGTCTTGGGGCCATCCCCAAAGTGATACGCTGTTTCTCCATTTCATTCATCTGCAGAAATCATTTTAAGACCTGGTATGCTGGAGTCTGTGTACCTTCCTATAATTGGATTTAGCTGCACAGTGTTCCTAGCATACGTGAGGCAAACAGAAAGAGGGTTTAAAGTTTGAGGGTCTCCCAAGCAGTGTGTAACATCTAAGCAAAGTCTTCTGTCTTGTGCCTTCAGTGAGTCTCAAGCATAGGCTTAAACGTTTGGACAAACAGAGCCAAAGCTATTGTTTGCATCGCAGAAGTACATTCAGTACACTGGCAGTTTCAAGAAAGAATACAGAAGGATTCAAACCTTTAGGCTATTTCACCATCATCACTTGGTGGGAATGAAGAGAATGGATGAATTATTCTCAACTAAGCAACTACAGTGCAACATCATACGTTAATCCATTTCCCTCTTATTCCCCGCCCCCCCCCC